AATATATATATATGTAGACGTGTTTACATGTATAAAATAAGACACAAACTAAAAAAAATGTCAAAACAAACACAATTATAAAAACTTTTACTAAAAACAAGACACAAACTAAAAAAATGTCAAAACAAACACAATTATAAAAACTTTTACTAAAAACAAGACACAAACTAAAAAAATGTCAAAACAAACACAATTATAAAAACTTTTACTAAAAACAAAGTATAAAAATAAAAACTAATTCAAAATATTAATAAAAAATGTCATATATCATGATGCTAAACAATGGCTTATAGTAATTATAAATGGCTAATTGTGTTAAGTATTAAATAGTATTAATAATAAAAATGTAGTAATAATAATAATAATAATTAATAATAATTTTTATTGTAATTATAATCAAATGGTACAACTGTAGATATATCCCATTAACACAGCAAAGTAAAATATATGAATGAGGGTTTTTCATAACGGATTAAAATGCTCCCTGGTCTTTGTATTATAGAAGTAACATTTTATATGACTGGTTTAGGATAGTTTTGGTATAATGCCTGTCTGCGTGTGTGTGTGTGTGTGCGCGCGGACAGTTGCTGGTTTTGCATGGTTGTGTATAAATGTCCTGAGGCTGTGTTCCAGGCACTGTTCATAGTTAATCATTTTCAATTCAGCACTGTCCCCCTCTGAGTCCCACCCTGCTGCCCCCGGGGCATCACTCTTGTCCTCCCCCATCTCTGCCTCCCATCCATCCATCCACTCCCCCCTCCAGGCCCAGTTTCTCATCCTTCCCTTCACCTTCCTCTCCCCTGCCCTCGTCTCATGGCCCTGAAGAAACTGAAGGACTGAGGGAAGACTGGTTCGAGGTCACTCTCTGGTTTCTTTTCTTTGTCTGAACTCGAATGTGTGAAATTAACAATGCATTTTCTTAAAAATAAATACATATACAGTAGTACATTTAATACATATGCATTTACGTACATATCATGATACCATATATATATATATATACATGTCCAAAAAAGTGAAGGGCAGCTGTGTAATTGTTGCAACTGTTTCTTATGAAGTCTTTTCAAGTGTAGTCAGCCCACAGTGGAAAGAAGCAGAATGTTCATTATAAAGTTGTCATACAGGCCGACAGTGTGACCACATGGCCATCAGAACGGGAGAGGCTTCTAGTTTTAATATCCAATTTTAGAACAAGGCTGTTAAAACTTCCATAGCAGTGCTGAAAATGACATCTTCAACTTTCCAAGGCCCTGCTCTAGTAAAACACACTATCTGTACATAAAATGAATTTCCCATGAAGAAGTCCGAACAGTGGGATGGTTTTCTTGTGTTTTGGTTTAAGTTATTTAACTCTCCGTCCTTAGTGTAGTGTAGTAACACCAGACTCTTAAGAGTTTTGATGAATGTGTTATGAATATATGCATTTTGTTTATCCACTATTCAATGGTTATCCATTTTAGTTGAGAATTTAAATAATAAGGGCTAATAAAGTTAAAGCAAAACTTGTGTATTTAACTCTTGTTTATCAGTAAATGATAAAGTCCCATATGACATCTAATGAATTTTTTTTTAAAATTTCAAGTCTCTTACTGTATGTTCACAGAGGCTGCATTTATTGATCAAAAATACAGTAAAACAGTAATATTGTTGAATATATATAAATTATAATAAGTTTTTTATATTGTAATGTTTTGAAATGTAACTTATTCCTTTGATGGCAAAGCTAAATTTTCATTAATCCAGTCTTGAGTTTTCACATGATCATTCAGAAATCATTCTAATATGCTGATTTGCTGCTCAAGAAACATTTCGTATCAATGTTGCCAACTGATACTTTTTTTTTTTCAGGGTTCTTTGATAAATAGAAAGTTCAAAACAGCATTCATTTGAAATGAAATCTTTTATAAATGTCTCTTAATATCACTTTTGATCAATTTAATGCATCCTCGCTGAAAAAAAAGAACATTCCTGAAAAATTGGCATCTTTAGTTTATTTTCTGTTCTTCTTAAAGAGCAACCTCTGTGTACTCTGTGTCCTTTCCTGATCACGTTCTCTCTATTAATTGGGATAGTGATGAATAAGACGGGAAACAAAAGTTGCAAAAATTATTTTCAGTCATGTATATAATCACATTTTGTGTGTGTGAGAGAAAGTGTGTGCGCTACATACTGTAGGTTGATGTCATAGTTTTGAAGGGGATCAGGCAGCTGACACAGACGTTACTTTGCAAGGTCTCACCTCTCACACGGAGAGATGTGAAGGAGTGTCTGCTGGAAGACTATGGAAAATGAGATGTGGGGGAATACGGTGTATCTGTTTCAAGAGACATTTAAATAATCCTGACTCAAATCCATATGCAGATAAGTCTAGCCTGCTCCCCAGCCGTTTCCTGTTACTGATTTCTCACACACACTCGAGCCTTCCCCGGTGTCAGCGGCTGCTCTCTGTATCTCCACACTTGGCTTAACCTTGTTTTGTGTGAGCTCACTTTACCACCCACAACGAGTCTGTGTGTGTGTGTGCACCGTCCCGCTTGTTTGCGTGTCCCATGTGGTTCTCGCCGAAATCGCACGTGTATTCTTTTAAAAAGTTTGCATCTTAAAAGCCTTACCGAGATGTGTGTGTGTGTGTGTGTGTGAAGGTTTTGTGTTTGGAAGTTTGTCTGAGTAACTTGTTAGTCACCTGAAAGTGCTTTAGAAAGTCAGTCGTCCCATTTTGGATCCCACCCCTTGTAAACTATGACTCTTTCTAACTGAGTAAGCCCAGGTTTTGACGGACTCATCAGGCTATAAAGTGTTATTGTGTGTGTTGAATTCCAGTAAAAGGTGAGTGTTAAATGTAGCTGATGTGTTGACATATTCCTGCATGTTCAAGCCTTTGTTACACATTCTGACTCGTGCCGCAGCGCGTTTCTCCATGTCTTGGAGGAGACGGCTGACTTGGAGTTGAACGTGTTTGATTAACACCGGCTGAGCAAGTGTGCGTGTGTTGAGCAACAAGCCATGGGTTTCCTCAAACTTTTCGGGAAGTGACCTCACACTGCCTGAGGCAGTGATATCATTGACAGGAAATGCCACTAATGCCGCCAGGCACAATAGCTGCTTGTGCTCTCAATGGGCAAAAGCAACTAGCAGATATACAGGATGTTTTTTTCTTTTTGTGCTAAATATTAATTAACACGAGTATAGTGGGAAATTACTGTGGTAGAAAATGGCTCATTTTGTGGTGAATTATTTTCTCCTTCAGTGCAGAAGTGAACAGTACTTGGTTATTAGTACTGGAAATTATTGTTGTTAATAATTGCACTAAATATAGTGGGAAAAGATGTTATAAAGGAGTAAGTTTTTAATTTGACCTGACTTTCATCTGTGAAACACAAAAGGAAATATTTAGCAGAATGTTTACGCTGCTTTCAATCCAACGAAGGCTGTCAAGCTTCAAAAAGCACCATAAAAGTAGTCCACATCTCTCAAGTTCTCCCAAGTCAAATGATAGCTTTCTGGGAAGAGCAGTTTGAAATTCACTGAAAATAGCTCACAAAGCTCATTTGCACTTCCACATATTCAAACTTGACATATTTTACACATTTTTGGGAGGAGTCTTTCTTTAAGTGCATCAGAAGGCTGTAGTACCCCGATGTTTAAGCAGTGATTCAGGTTGAATATGTGTGGTTTGTAATTGTAGATGAGCAGCTGAGTGATTTACTGTGTTTTGTCCCTCAGACGGAGGATTCTCCTAGTCCGAAGAGACAGCGCCTTTCCCAGCAGTCTGTACTGGAGTTTACCTCTGCCCCTCCTTCCACTCCCTCACCGCCAATCAGACCATGGGAGCTTCCGCCCAGTCGCAGGCCACACCCCTATCCCCACCCACACTACCATCCCGAGCGCTGCCACACACCTGCACGGCACAGACGCAGGTATGCTGGTGTTAGTTTTGACCGTTAGAACTAATGTGCGAATGAGCTGACAGCTAATCGTGACCCGAGTGACTGTTATCAGGTTTGTTTGTATATTGCTTTTATGGTGCATTTTCAAGCAGCGTAACGGACATCCAATACTATGTTGTGAATGGTATCAATTACTGTGCTAGAAATCCATAATTCTAGTCTCATCTTAAGTTCTTTAGTCCCCCAGTGAGAAATTTGAATACAGCTGATTATTAAAATAAAATTCATTTCATTTCATTTTTAACTTGAATTTAGTTGGTTTATTATATTATGGTATATTGTAAGCGTTTAATTTTAGTGAAAATTATTGAAGGTTTTTTATAATATTTATATAACACTGGAGTAATGGCTGCTGAAATTTAAATATTAGATATAACATTTATCTTTTAATGTATTTTAAAATGCACTTTTTTTCCTGTGATGGCAAATAGAAAACAATTAAAT